GCCAATCCAATATGCATTATTGCTCTATTTTTAAATGAATCAAATAACAAACAGTAATCATTATGTGATATTTGTGCTATGCTGTAGGCATGGAGAGGCTGTGAAAATGAAGACTGGGTACCGCACACTTATGAGGATCTGGAGGGTCTGCCCTGCATCATCATACTGACGGGGAAGGACCCTCTTGGAGAAACATTCCCCAGGTAAGCTCATAAGTCAAGATACCCCAACACCTGATAGTCAGTCATGGGGAGTACAGTACATTTCCTTTTAGCTCATCTATAATTTCTCCCCATTTGCCGCTGCCTAGACCTTACACTCAGAGTTTTATATTACACGTCTGCAGGCACACAGTCTAGGCTGTCTTCTCTACAAGAGAGCTCCAGTTACGTTTTGTCCTGCACCCAGTGTGCTGGTCTTGGGTTGTGTGTCTGTGTTTGATAGGAATAATTAAACCATCTGAGATTTACAGCATTTTAATTTAGTCATGTAATCCGATGTTCAATGTAATTTGGGTAATCTGATTGTAAACTGTTTTAAAATAAATACATTTAGACTTTTAATGAATAATCAAAAAGTCTGTTATGTGGGAGGGAACATAGACATATTCAATCAATCAAAAAATAATCCATACATGTATTAGCTTTTCTTAACCACAACCCTTTTTCTCCACCAGGTCTCTGAAATACAGCGACCTGCGCCTGATAGACTCCAGCTACCTGACCCGTACCGCCCTGGAGCAGGAGGTGGGTCTGGCCTGCACCTATGTGTCCAGTGGGGTGGTCCAGGAGCCAAAGAAAGCCATGGCCCCTCGGGAGTCCGACACAGAGAAGGCCACCACCAGCCTGAATGACGGAGATGAGCTGGAAAGGCCTCAGAGCAACGGCAGCGCTGCGACCAGAACCTCTGGTGAGTCCCTGAACTCACTGACATACTTCTACAAATAAATATGCAAACAACCAAAAGCAAGAATTTCACATTCAACAACACTCTTTTGTTCACTCAGGCTCTTTGGCAGAAAACGGAGTCAGTTCATCGGACGTCACAGACCTTTTCCAGAAGCCCTCCACCTCCACCTGCCCACCTGAAAGCAGCATCACATCGGACATCGGCACGGCAACACAAGCCTTCAAGCAGGAGTGTGATTCCCTGGGGAGCCAGTTCCCCTCCAACCCCTCCAAAGCCTCCAAAGCCCCTCCCTCTCTCTACTCCAGCTCTGCCTCGTCCTCTCCATCCTCATCCTCCACCCAGAGGCCGAGCCAGTCCACGCAGTGCGGTCGAGGGCCTAAACCCGCTCGGGTGTCGGCGCGGACAGTCATCATGTCGCGGGCGGCGTATAATCTTCTAGCGGGGGAGTCGGGGAGTCAGCTGAGCTCCTTCTCCCTGCTGCCTCATGCCGATATGGGGTGGAGCAGCCCTCTGAGGCCGCTTATCACTCACAACCTGCAGGGGGCGGAGCAGAGCGCCTACTACCGCCAGTGGACCATCGCCAGGCAACATCACGCCGATTACGAGGCTCCATCTGTGCCACATCCACGGCGCCTGCTGCTCAGCGGACCCCCACAGGTAATAAAACAGAAGCATGTAGGTGCATATAAGCACAGCTAGTATTTATGTCAATTTAACTGTGCTTCTGGATTTAAATGCCATTTTGACATAACAGGAATGTTTGTTTTGTCCTTTTTTAGGTGGGAAAAACTGGTGCCTATCTGCAGTTTCTTCGTATCCTGTTTCGGATGCTCATCAGATTGTTGGAGGTGGATGTGTATGATGAGGAAGAGGAGTTGGAAGAAGGTAAAGATCATTGGGAACTCACTGACATAATGAGGAAAGCAACTTCAGATGTGCATTGTGGTGACCTTTGTTTTGTTCTTTCTGTTTGTGTTCTTTTCCATCTCTAGAAACATCAGAGGTTACAACTCTCGTAAATACCCAGCTGCCTGACATTGAGGATGTGAGAAAGCTGCCCTTTGACCCCTACCCCCGGGACCCTAAGTTCAAGAAGGCCAGCTCTGTTTACACTGACAAGATGCCAAAGGGCTTTAAAGGTCAGCAGAAATATGCTAGCTCACAGCAGAGGGCGTCTCTGAACTAGCCTTGCACTTTAAATACTACATGGATGTTACTTTACTATCAGCTCAAACAAGCTTATCTAAAACTAAGCGTGTGAACATGTTTGATTTTTGCAGATTTTAAGCAAGAAGACGAAAGCCAAACACCAGTCAAACGAGAGACCAAGTCCATACGCCTGAGCAGGTTTGCCGCCCACAATGCCTTTCACCACTGTGAACAGTGTCACAGCTACTGTGAGGCAGCCCCCGCCACACAGGTGAGTTTCTACATCCAACATCTAAAACACACTGCACGTACAGAAATCCCAAACCTGTCAAAATACTTTGACGCTTGAAGGCTTGAGAGCTTTTTTCAACCTAAGAAGTCTTGCTTAATGGTGATATTTTGTGTTAATAATGCATCTGTGTGTACTTCTGTGTGTTGTAGCTGTTGGAGTGCACCTTCCATGCTTTCACCTTCTGCTCGTCCATGCTGGGGGAGGAGGTCCAGCTCCAGTTTGTCATTCCCAAAGCCAAAGAGCAGCACTTTGTATTCAGTCAGCAGGGCAGCCACTTGGAGAGCATGCGCCTGCCTCTGGTCTCCACCAAGGTAAACTTAACACATGTGGGAGCAATTGTGTTTGAGTGTAGAAACATGACAGGAGAGTACAGGCATCCTTTTCTGCTTAAACTCAAAAGCATCACAAGTTAGTTTAAATGTTTCGCATCACAACTTTATTCTTTGTTGTAACTCTTTCTTTCTTTCCTTGGCTTCCGTCTCTAGGACCCAGATCTGTTAAAGAGTCCAATCTTCACCCCGAGTACAGGACGCCAAGAGCACGGCCTTCTCAACATTTACCACACCATGGAGGGCGCCGCTCATCTTCACATTCTGGTGGTCAAGCAGTTTGAGATGCCCCACTACAGGAAGTACTGGCCCAACCACATCCTTCTCGTCCTGCCCGCTATGTTCAACGGTGCGGGAGTTGGTGAGCAGACTTCTGGCTTAACTAAACTGTTTCTCAAAAATGTCATCAGCATCATTTGAAATATGCTATGAAAGGGATATTGTACACTAAGCGGGTCTTTATTGTTAAATTAACCTTGACAGGATGATGCAAGTATAATGAATCACCCTGAAGACTTTACGATAATCACCCGCTCATCCTGCTTACTAAGGAAATCAATCATTTGACACTAACTATTGATTTGGAATGAATTGGTCCACAAGGGTCTATCATAATAAAGAAATAACAGACTGTAGCATACCTTAAATGACCAATCAGAATTGAGTATTCAAAGAATCTGTGGAATAGAATCACTATAACCAGGGGTGCACACAACTTTCTCAGTGAGGTACTCAGATGAGTACCTGGAGTCAGTGTTTGGTACTCCAACTTCTGGCTCCCCTCAAAGTTCCCATGAAGCCCTCTGTATCGCGAATGTCAGCGGGGGGGGTAGTGGAGTGCAGAGCTTCGTGACCACAGAGCGTGTGAACGTTGGACAGACCGACGTTAACAGCAGCCCTGTCTGTGCACACGGAAGCCGACTCGGTCGTCCGGTGATCTAACCGCCTTCTGGAAAAGCTTCACAAGTACGTCGGTACACAAATGTGCTTTGTGACACAAGTGACGGTACGCATTTCAGATTGTTGCCACTTATGTGCACCCCTGCCTCGATTCTTCATTGTAACTGTCACTGTGTGTGTGTGTGTGTGTGTGTGTGTGTGTGTGTGTGTGTGTGTGTGTGATTGTGTGTGTGTAGAGTAGAACATTCCCCCGTAGCGCCCGGGACATTAATGGGAAACCCTAAATGTTTGAGCACCCTCTATGAAAC